AGAGAACAATCATGGGAGAATAGAAGGGCTGCTTATGCACAGGGAGATAGCTCAGGGGGCAGGAGTGCACGGAGGGATGGACATAGGGAAGCAGTAACTATCGGGAGGAAGTGGGAGGGGAGCTGTTGCATTGTGGTAAATTGTGGTCAATATCATGAGACAAAGTGTATATAACTGCTGTATGGAAAGTGAATTTGCTCTGTAAATTTTCACCCAAAATACAATAAAAAAATAATAAAATAAAATAAATAAAAATATTGAGTGTGAAGAGAGATGTATGCATGTAACTAAAATTCAATCCAAAACCCAACATTGGTTTTCTCAAACTGCAGTAAGGGACTTCAACAACGGCAAGAAGATTTCTCCTGAGAAGCAGAAATACTATCATTTTTGCTCTTATACTCTAAAGGTCACTGCACAGTCCAGGGCAAATAACAGCTGCTCAATAAAATAAAAATGAAAGAACTCATTTCTCTGAACATAACTTTGGGATTTTGTTTGGTTAGATATGATTGTTTTTTAGAGGGTTCGGGGAGGGATGTTAGAGAGGGAAGATGAAAGGCAAATTGGGAAAGATCTACAGGGATGAAAAAAAACTCAGTAAACAACCTAAAAATGAACAACCACAAGATGCACTGAAAGGACTGGGCAGACAAGAAACTGCCCTCGCTGGACCTAATTTTGACAGTTTTTTTCCTTACTTCGGAGACCCCAGAACAAGAACAGGAATAAATACCCTTAAGAAAATTCCAAGCCACATACTGTTGTGTTTACCTTTTCCTAGTCAGAAAAAAAAGGTAACTTTCTAATCGACCCCCTTCAAAAGAACGAAATGACTACATCTTCCATATTGCTTGTCTTCCAAAGCCCAGAATGACTTTTGTTGATTTGCATACAATAATTATTTAGTTAATTAACAAGGTTCTAAGCTGGTCTTTTCAACCCTTAACAAGCTGAAAATTATATAAGATTCCCCTTCAAAGGAAAAGAAATCTTCCCCAAATAGGATCTGATTGCTCATAACAACACAGTGAATGCAATTTTCCACATGGCTGCTGCATTGAGATTTAAACTGGGCCCATGAGAAGGAAAGAGAAATTCTTTTTGTGCATAAGCTCAGAAATTGAGAAATCTTACATGCATCTAGCATTAAAAACACAATTTTTTAAATTTACCCATTTCCTTAAAGTCAATACTGTTAGTAAAAATTTGTAAAAGTTGGAAAGATAAAAAAAAAAAAAAAAATTAAAGAAAAGCTGTACATTTCCCACATCCATGGAAGATAATTTTTAAATAAAAGTTCAGTATTTAGGGTTACAAATGCTTTATTTAATCATTTATCGAAATTTAATCTTATAGTTAGTATATTAAGAATTTTCCCTTGTGTTTCAGGAAGAAAAATCCAAACCAACCAATTAATCTAGTAATGAAGGGAGTTCTGAAAAATCATTTTAGTGGAATATATCACATTTCAAATCAAAAAGGCCTGCTTTTGCTGGTCACATAGTGACTCATTTGTCAAAAGGATAAAGCGGGTGGATGTAGTTAAGGAAAAGAGCCTAAAAACAAAGTGCAGTATTCTTGCAGGACTGAAGAATCATCTGGACCAGCCTGCAATCTACTCACCAGATGTCTGACTTGGTGTCATAGCCTTGGTGTTTCAGAGCTTCCGGACTCATGTAATGGGGAGTTCCAGTTAAAGTTGTGGCCAGGTCACAGGATCCCATTAAGAGTCGAGAAACTCCAAAATCCCCTGAATACAGTAATTAATTTGTATGAGAACTTTTAAACAACAGAAATCATCACTGGAAATGAACCAATTGTCTAATTTAACCATTTTATATGCAATGATTCATACCATGTTAAAGGTAAAGAAAAAAAAGTATTACATTCTAAATTATACAATGCTAGTAAACAGCTTTAAAACATAAGGCTTATTTATAGGATGAGGAAGGCTATAGCCAGGCAAATGAAATATGTAAGCTAAGAGGGAGCTCTGGTAGCATAGTGGCTAAGACACTTGCCTG